CTCCCTGCCAAGCAGGGAGCCCGATGCGGGATTCGATCCCGGGACTCCAGGATCATGACCTGAGCCGAAGGCAGTCGCTTAACCAACTGAGCCACCCAGGTGCCCGCTATATTTCATATTAATTAATTTTTATAACCTGTACTTTATCATAAAATTTTGAGTAGCTTCCTTTTGAAAACAATTATTTTCAGAATAAAGATGAGCGAGAGAAGAGAGTACACATATACTTTCCTGGGCAATGACACTGACTAGCAGAATGGTGTGTCAGTGCAATGTTGTTAAGTCCAATAATCTTGGACAAGTTATCAGACGTTTTAACATTTAACATCACAACGTATCACTTAATGTCAAAAAGGGCAGAGGGTTCACTGGTTCAATACAAGGGAAAAAATGCATTCATTCCATATGTATCTACTTTAATATTGTTTTTTGAATCTGTGAATTCCATGTTTGCAAAATTCTGCAGTGCAGAGTAATAAAAAAAGAAAAATGTTTAATTAAAAAAACTACAGCAACTGGCTGGCTACCATTATTCATTTTCATACATGTCATGCTTGAGAAAGCTTTGCATATTTTAAAAAGCTATGGATCTACTAAAGCTGTCAAAATCCAATCTCTGTATACTTCACACTTCTACATTTGAGTAAATCAGCACACATTTATAGGTTCATAAAACTTTTTGACTCATCCCTATGACATAGTGGTTTTTCCCCTCAATTTGTTCTCATTACCAGCTGAAGTTAATGAGAAGGTATTAAAGAATGATTTGCAATGGAATTATGTTTCTGCCTGAGTATCCATGTAAGCTACCCTGTCTTTTCTCTTGTACAGTAATGTAGTTTCCTAGGGTGAAGAGTAACTTTAAAAAAAAAAAGGAAGTTTCTCTTCTTGTCATCATATGCAATAAACTATTTGATCTCAAAATGAAACACAAAAACTTCAGTATGAATTAGAAAAAGGACCACAAATAGCAAATGTTCCTCATCCTTGGGTAAATTAAATTTTCTGAAACATCTTCACAAGCTCTTATACTGGAATATCACTCTGAAAATCACTGGGTAGCATTTATCCTACTACAGAAAGGTTATTAGAGAAACAAACATAAAACCCATTTTTCCACATTCTAAACCGTAAGAGTTAATTATTAATTTGAAAACAAAAGCAAAAGAAATTCCAACTAAAATGGTCTCTTAGCTGCCTGCCCCATCTCAGGAATTCCAACTTATACAAGTTTTAATTCATAGTTAATATTCTGTTAAAAGAAAAAAAGGGGGTGGGGAACAGAGGGGAATCTCAGATAAGGCACCACTGAGTATGAGAACATTTGGTATAAGTTATAAATAGTAAGCCAAAGCTCAATTTCCTTTTCTTACTTGGTGGGTAAGGAACAGCAGCTCTTCCATCCTTCCCAAGAGGTCGGTCTTCTGCCCCAACTGCAGGCATTTTTGATGAACGCAGCGCAGGTGATACAGCCTAAGAAAAGATTATTATTATTAAAACAGGGCAACACACTTGCATCTAAGTAGGGCAGTAGTCAACTATTTCTTAACATATGCCTACTGATATTTTGGAATAAAGATGCTTCCTTACATAGTGTTCACAAGTGAACTTCTAGGAATAGCCACAGACAGTGAAGCCAAGGAGAAGGCTACAAGCTTATCAAGAATGAAAACCACAGTGACTGAATCTTCTCTGCATGGATCTGGTAAGGGCAGACTGCACCATCAAAGCACAACTTACAGACCTTAAACAAATCTTCCTCCTCCCAGGTCATTAGAGAAGTGGTTTCAGGGACACAATAATTAAATTAGGATGGTGCCTCCAAGGAGTAATTGGCTATCAGTCTGGTTTTCCTTCTGTTTGGAAGCAGGCAGTTAAAAGAGATGACCTCAAGCCATCCCAAAGTATTTTTATCTTTCACCACAAAAAAATATCCCATGTATCTTCTGCTCCTATTTCCGCAGTTACTGTTCATCTTCATAAAAAATAACCTTATCACATAAAATTATTGAAATATGCAGAGAGGGCGTTTCTTTGATTTGTTATTCAAAATAAATTAAGTCCTTTAATAGGCAAGATTATCTTTAAGAACTCAAATGAATTAGTGGCAAGATAAAACAAAGCAAAAAAAAAAAAGATTCTCACAAATAGAAGGCCTTTTACATATGTATACTTATTCAATGTCACAGGGCTGAAATGTAAAATTAAATTCAAAGACATCTGAGATGAAAACTTGAACAGTCTCACAACACCAGCTATCAGTAAGATGAATTAAGCAAAAACAATTCTAAGGTAAGCGATTCTCTTGATTAAATGCCAGGCTAGAAATCAGAGTAAAGCAGAAACAATCATTTTAGAGAAATGAAAATTAGATTAAAAATGTCCAACCCTCCTTCACATATTAATGTTACTAAGAATATATTCAAAAACCAAAGTAAACATGGGGCGCCTGGGTGGCTCAGTTGGTTAAGCGACTGCCTTCGGCTCAGGTCATGATCCTGGAGTCCCCGGATCGAGTCCTGCGTTGGGCTCCCTGCTTGGCGGGGAGTCTGCTTCTCCCTCTGACCCTCCCCCCTCTCACGTGCTCTCTCTCTCATTCTCTCTCTTTCAAATAAATAAATAAATAAACAAATAAATAAATAAAAAAAACCAAAGTAAACATATCTTCAGTTAGTCCAACAGTAATACACAATTTATACAGATGTAAGTACGATGGCTCTGAGCACTAAGAACAATCACTGGGGATGGTGGCTGTGAACAGGCCCTGGCTACTCTGCAATGCTTACTTTGTACCCTTTCTTATTCCTCCCTTTCTACTTCTTTTTGATTCCTTGTCTTTTCATGTTTCGTCCCACCATCCCCACCAAAGCAGCTAACCAAACCCTAAGGACCATTAAAATCAGTCCTACCTAGGGGCACCTGGGTGGCTCAGTCGTTAAGCGTCTGCCTTCGGCTCAGGTCATGATCCCGGGGTCCTGGGATCGAGCCCCGCATCGGGCTCCCTGCTCAGCGGGAAGCCTGCTTCTCCCTCTCCCACTCCCCCTGCTTGTGTTCCTGCCCTTGCTATCTCTCTCTCTGTCAAATAAATAAATAAAAAATCTTTAAAAAAAAAAAAATCAGTCCTACCTAATGCCTGACGTATAGGGAGATAGTGAAGTTCAAAAAGGCTCTCGGATGCCTGGATCAACACACGAAGGAAACATGTCCTTCCTTGTACTACAGTTTTTCTCACTGTCACGTCCTTTTCCTTCACACAGCCACTGCCTAAATTTCGGTCCTTGTGTTTTAATCCAATCAAAGTTACCAAATAGTACTCCTGCTTTCTGTGTATGAGACTGATGAAAACCAGCACTGGCTTCTACCTAGTCAGTTCCACACTCAGCAGCCTTCACGGAGGGGCACATTACAGGCAGAGTTTGGAGTCCAAAGCCGTAAGTGTGGTCAAAAACCTTCCTAACCCTGTCAATCTTTACGCACCACTCAGAGAGCAGACCAATGGTCTGTTCACTATGCTCCCCACCCTCAGCTGGTTCATCCTTGTTGCTTAACCAAGGCTCATTCCAGGTTCAAACTAATGCCTCTCCCCTGCCTCTCACTAACCCTGTCTTTCCACATTTTAAGTCAAATCCTTTCTTGGAGGCCATTATGATCTCATCATCTCCTAAGTACTTAACATTACTAATGGTGTATAGTATCTGTTAATCAGATACATTTTATTTTAAAGTGAGAACAGGCTTCAGAATTCTGATTCCTACTTAACCTTTAAACCTTAACTTAAACACTGCTCGTCTGTCACTTTGTACTTGAACGTCCAGCATCTTTAGACGCAGGTCAATTACAGCACTCACAGTAATAAACGTGCATGCGTGTATATATTTTTGTATATTTTTAAGTAATTTTTAACTTTATTTACATGCTACTTCTCCTGAGGTCTGTGAGTACCTCAAGTATCAGGGCGGGATAATAATATTTGTAACCTCCAATACACGTCACAAAGGAACTGACCATCAAATGAGTAACAAATATATGGGAAATGGACGAAAGGGAAGGAAGGTTAAGTACATACGTAAGTGAAAGAAAAATAAACTGATAAACTTATTTCCTTGAAGAGAGGACCTTACTCATTTCTTGGTCCCCCAGAAATAAACAGGTACTTCCATCTGCCCAAAAGTACAGAGGTGGTTAGGAGGACAAGGACATAAATTTCCTGATTCAGAGCCGCTCAGCTGTTCTCCTAAGAATTATAATTCTTACCTGTCACTTTAACCACATCATGCCTTATATTATTTAACTTCCAGGTACATAAGTCCTTTTTCCCTGCTATTGTGCCATAACCCTAAAAAGTATAGATCAAACCTGTTTATCTCTCAAAATGTAGACTAAGTTCTGACTGATGAGATGAATAAAAAGTTACGGGGCATTATCTTTAAAATCTGAGCTAAAGGGATTACATAATACACTTCTACTAGTCTCATGATATTTAGAAGGATTTAAAAACTGAATGGGAAAGATTTTAAAATTTACAACAGGAAGAAACTAATAAAAGAAGACATTAACAAAGAGAACCCAAGGGGTGTTAGAGACTACACCGACAACTTTTAGAATCCTTTCAAAGTATTCAAACATTTCTGCAGAACTTTCTGAACCTGAAATAAGAGGCCCCAAAATTCAGTAGACCAAACGATAAGGATATCCTCCAACAGTGACCTAAGCCCTCCCATGTAGGAAGATTTCTGTTTCAGTCGCTATGGCAGACTCACCCCAAGTTCGTCATCATCGGAATTGTCAAAGATGTTGTCTAAGTCATGCAGGGAAGGTGCCAGGTCCGTCACCTGTGTAAGGCTACTGGAGCCAGCTCTGCCAGCAGCATTATCCTGCCGGACATCTGCGGGAAAGGAGGCAAAGACGCAGAATGAGCAACTTCATCCACAGAAAAGGAGTGAGGAGAGGGCATGGATCTCAGTGAGCAAGACCTGCCTGTGATTTTTTTTTCTCCCTAGGTTTTCAGTTAAATTTAGAGACAATTATTTCCAAATATGTTTATCAGTTTTGAAAGTAACTGAAAAACAAACTATGAAAAATTAAAGATGGGTCAAATTATTGCTATTACAGTAAAAATATAATTCTAAATCGAGAAGCATCTCCCTTGCATTTTACTTTAGCAACAATCCAAGTGAGGCAAATAATCATTGTACACACCTGTTTTAGTAGCAGAACTGAAAATAGACATGGCATTTTTCCCATCAGGCACCGGCGTGGAATGACCTGGTGTAGTGACATCCTTGGTACCAAATCCATCCTCTGACTGTATAATAAATTCAGCCAAACAAAACACATGAACACCAACCCAAAGTGTGGAATATGAGGGAGAACACAAAGAATTAGAGGGTAGAATGGAACTTGTTATGAGCACAAGTATGATAAACCATGGTCTATGCAACCAAGGGAAATAAAAGGTATGTCCTTTCCCCTGAATTTAAACAGAACCCAAAACTCCCACGCTGTCCCTCCAATCCTATGGAGTATTCTTGAGTCCATCTGGGTTTTAGCCTAACCAGTACTGGTGGCATTTGATTACAGACCTGCCATGGTGTGAAAAGCTGCCTTTAACAACATTTTAGATGCTGAACTATGGTTCAAGCTTTCGGGATCTAGACAGATCTCTATAAAGGAATCTCTCAAGCATTCTCCTGCACTGTACAGGCCTCTTTTAATGGTCTTATTTCCTCTATTCTCAAGAGTACCTCTTTAAATGGCCCAGTATTTTGGAATGTTTTAAAATGTAAGGCTAAAGACAGCAGACACCCCCAGTACTCATTTTTTATGACAATGAAACCAGTAAAATTAATACTGACACAATCTAGGAGTAGTGTTGATATTAATTCAGATAGATATATAGGTAAAGCGCTTGGTACCGTAAACATACTAAGCGCTCAATAAACAATAGATATTGTTATCAGCATTTTTTCCCTTACATTTTGGATATTTTGGAATAGTAATTAAAAAGAATTAAGCAGGGAGCATAGGCCAACAAGAATTAGCATATGAGAGGAAACATGCACCGTACAAGCTATAGCCTGGAAAATATGAGGCTTCATTTATGTTCAGCTGACTTTTAAACAAAGGTGAGCCATGACATAAAAAGGAACAATACGTTGTTCGATACAATAGTACCAAGAGCATGAATATGGGGACAGAGCAATCAGGCAAGACTACCTCAAACATTCTGCCTCGAAATTTTCCCACACATGTTGTACTGACATAGATCAAAACCCACACCGTGCTGGACACTCTCTTTGTTAAATAGTACCTTATTCTTTTTCAGGGAATCTTTCTCCGTCCCTTGTTTGCATTTCTTGTTTGCTGTAAAGATGTATTTTATGTCGCCATCCTCAAAGGTATATGGATCATTGACTTCTCCCAAACTGTCTCCAGGTTGTTGAGCTAGAGGCAATGGCTCAAGGAAGTGGAGTGGCTGCATCTGGGGTGGCTTTTCTTGCCAGATTTTAAACCGTTTGTTAGGTTGTGCTAAGAGTCTAAAAGGGAAAATAATGACAATTTAAGCAAGGTAAACGAAGTAAAAAGACTGATTTTTTTTTTAAAGCAGCATTTATAACTTAAAGCATTTGCAAAACTTAAACTTAGAAAATTTTTCTCTCTAAAGAAGTTCTTTTAGAGATTATGTTCACAAATAAAACTTAGTAGATCTTTGTGAAGAATATCCTTTTGTCTCTGATTCCATGGATTCCGGTTAAGAGCATAAATGGGCTCTAAGGACAGACTACCTAGGTTCAAGTTCAATCTGTGTCATTTACTAACTGCTTGACCCTCGCTTCTTTCTCAGCTATGAAAATAAGGTAGTAATATGACTGTGGTGAAGATTAACTGAGATGGTCTGGGTAAACTGTGAAGAATAATGGGTAGCTCAACAGCACTAAAAATAGTATTATTACTAGATGCAGGATACATACCTAAATGCATGCAAAGCCCTCCTTAAAAGTGTCAACATACAAAGAAGGCACTGACCACAATATGGAAAGTGTCATCAAGCTATATTCTTTGACTAACAGCAGGCCAAAAATAAGTTAATACCAATGTCCTAAATGCCACAATGAAATCTTTATATTGCCAACATGTTTAAATAACGACACGTGTGAAACCTCATAAAGGACAAAGCATTTGACTTTTTAGCATTTCCCAAATGTGGAGTCTAGAATGGTGAAGAAAAGCATCTTTCATTTTGGCTCTGAAGGGTGAGCATGGGGAGATGAGGAGGAAAGCCCCTCTCAGGACCCTATGCCTTGGTCAACAGGTGATCAGCTGGGTGGTACGCAGTCGCCTTACCTTTGCAACGCAGTGCTCTCTGAGTTTACCTCCATTTTGGCATCACATCTGTCGCCCTGGAGCTCTGGGGGCCGGAACTCAGCATCCTCAATGGGGGGGAGGCGGTAACGGTGCCACCACGTGTCTGACGACTCGGGGTTCGAGGGCCTGAGCCCACAGTATAAGGCCGTCTCGCTGACCTCTGCCATCAGAGGCAGTCTTTGGCCTACGAGGACAGTTCTGTCATCCAGAGTCGACAACTGCTGGAGTTCAAGCCCATTTCCATAGAGAGCTGGGTTCACAGGGACAGATGGCGGGTCCAAACTCTCTGTTTCCTGACCTCGTGGTTGAGGGCTGAGTGTTGGCGGCAGAGGGGAAATAGGGGAATGAGGTGAATCCATAGGATTCAGATTCATTTGCTTGCTTGTATTTCTGGAAGGCACGGCCATTTGTTTATCATACTTCCTACTGCTAGACACCTCTAAGGAGGAGTCTATCCCTGCCAACCCTAGCTTCTGTCCTGGTGTATCCTGCTCCATACAGAACTCGTCAGCCACAGAGGGCCTATGGTGAAATGGTATCAAGGGTCTCTTTTGCAGTTTGTCTCCCTTTTCCGGTCTTTCTGTTGTTTTGTGCTTAGACGCAGGAGGTGGTAAAGATGAAGATGATGATGGTCCTGCACTGAACCCTGGTTGAGATATTGCGGGAGGTCGATTGGGTCCTACTGCACAACGTTTTAAAAGTTTATGCCTGAAATGAGAATTAAAGTAACGTCAAGAAACACACACCTGAAATATAACTGCATCACTGTAACAATACAACATTATTGCATCATTGTAACATTACAAAAGAGATGCCTCTGACAAGGTTATATCTTTTAAGCACACAAGAGATCCCCAAATCACTGAAAAGGCCTCTAAGTGTTAATTATTTTTATAATGACTAAAAACTGCCAACACTCTGATGGAAAGTTGTGAATCAATCACACACAAGTTAGCAGGTAAGAGATGGACTTAACAGTGCTAACCCCTACCAAAAGACTGATTTGAAAAATCCCCAAATCTTTCAAATTTGGTAAGGGCCTCAGATAATGTGTATTCACAATGCACCTTAAAACCAAGAGTAATGAGATCATTTGCCAAGAAAGAGAGAAAAAAAGCTTCCAATTTCTATCTTACAACACTCTACTACAATATAGAATGGCTTATAACAGCTTGTGGTGTTGTAAATTGAGAATAAAATAATTATGTGATTCTCCCCCAAAGTGTGAAAACAAGAAAATGAAGGTCGATCCTACGAATATTTAACAGAATAAATAGACTAGAAACCTTATATGCCATTCATATCAAAAAAAGAAGGGATAAAAGACAACTTTGGGTCTTCCAGACTCACAAAATTAGAAGTAAAAAGATGGTGAGTGAATATGAAAACAACAAATGCATCTGTACTAAGCAGGGTAGCAAGTCTACTCACATCCTAACATACTTCTTGGCAAGCATGGGTGTGAGATATTGCTCAGGAAGGGCCCACTAGATGATGCCAAGGTTTAATCTGTGTGCAACAAAGTTATACAGCGGGTCTGCCAGTTCCTCCCAATATATAAATCCACCCAGGGAAAAACGTGAGCTCTCCTGCCCGTGCAGCAGTAACTCTCTGAGGCCACTAGGGTGGCATTAAATTACTGCTGAATCACACTCAATGGTGCCCTAGTGGGCAGTAAAACGGATTTGTGTGGCATAATGGGATGGTTTAGTCGGACAGCAGGATGGCCACACTGCCCCATAAGGCCATTAAATAGTGTGAGGAGTGGACCATTCCATAATGGGTTTGGTAATCCTGCAGTAGATAATCTGAAAAGACTCTTGCTAAAGTCTTTGCTACTCTTAAAAAAAAAAAAAAAAAAAAAATCTGACTGTGAAGAAGGTTGTTTAAGCATAAGGCTATTGACAATAAGGTAAAAATTGTGTTTTAATCTCCAGGGCACAGTAGCACACTAAGAGATGAATGTCTCATCCGAAAATATCTCAATCATATCTTATAAGGGTGCTTATTTTATTTATTTTTTTTTTAAGATTTTATTTATTTATTTGAGAG